GCAGTCCCTCGCCTTCGCAGACCTCCTCCCTTGGAACGGCTTTCACACAGCACCATCGACCTGTCATTACAGGACCCAGAGGTGAGGCCTTACCCAGGAGCCCCCAGGCAGCATAAGCGTTAGCCGCAGCACCTTGTGTCCCAAGGACTTTCCACGGAAAGTAATCATCACGTGTGACCCACCCAGTGAGAGGCTTTGCTTCAAAAGCTCCTAACCTGGAGGTTCTCGTTGTCAAGAACTGTGTTTGGTTTTGCTAGTTTGGGATGGTTGTTAAAACTCCTGATGACAATTCAACATTTCCTAAGGGGGAAATGTTGGTTTCTGTGGGCTTGGGGTTTTTATTTGAAGAGGGTGGGGAAAGGGACAGAGTATAGTGTCCTGTTTCTGCTTGTATCAATATATTCCATAGATTCAGTTTAACTGCTCAAGATAGGGACTCATCATTCCCTCCTGAACCATGCCTATCTTTCAACACTACTGCTTTATCTCTGCGAATCACTGAGCCTTTGTGTTGTTGCTATCAGTGCATTGAAGACCCACCTCATTAGTGGACTCCTTTGAAGTTGGTTCCTGCAATACTTTGTTGGTTTTCTTCACAGTACTCTTCTGACCGATCTTCCAAGTAAAAGAGATGTCCTCTGGGTCTTGACGTGCTTATAAATTTGTAAGAAAGATACATCTGCATTAACCTAGAAAACTGAATACAATACTCAGTTCACACTTGAAAAGGAACACACCTGGGCATAGTAATATACGCAAATGAATGAATCATCTTGCAAACCTTCTTTTTGAAGATATAAAAATAAGAATGAATGGCTGTGACATGTTTCTTTCTGCTATGAAATTTTACTTCATTTGGAAGAGATTATTAAGGAATTTGACGAATGGTGAAGCGTGAAAAGACATACTAGCAATTCATACTAGAAATTATTTTGAAATGTCTGTTGGCATTAGTGTGGTCTTACTGAGGGCAGCAGAAACCAGGAGTAACCTCTTTGTCTGCACAGTGCCAGGTGCGTAGCATAAAGTGGTGGAATTGCACCAACCATAAGTTGATGTGAGGTCAGAATTGCGCTTCACGGTTCTTTGTGCTTTGTTAAAACTTCTTAATGTGGTTTGATTTGTTGTGGTTAATCCCATAAAAATTATTTATTACCTGAAAAGCAAGCACCTAGATCCTCGAAAGGTATTTAGAGATCTAAGTTCTATGCAGATATGTAAAATCCCTTGAGATTCAGATCTGTGCTATCTGGCAAATATATCATTTCTTCTTTTAAGAGCCTTGATAATTGGTGATATAAGTGTGAATAATATGAATGTTCCATTAACATCATATTCAGTGCACATCAGCTGACACTGATTTCCTGTCTTTTAGAAGTTCAACCTTTTAGATCGGAATTGTTGATTGATTAGTTTAATAGATCCGTTCTGTATTTTGTTAGGTTTTACCTTACACTTATTTTTGAAGATCATTAAATGCCTTTTATGCCCCTATTTAGACCCTCTACATTTTGCATTTTTATGTAGTTTAGAAAGTAAATGTATCACTAGTTAGGTCTTGTTTAAATCTCGTCTACAGTCTGTTTTCACAGGACTTTTTCTGTGCACCTGGGGATATACGAGGGACTTCCAAAACCTGGCAGAATTTGAAAGAGCAATATAATGATTCTAGTTCACAAATTTTGTTTGTTTGGAAGGAGGTGTCTTTACTAACTCCGTAGGAAAGTATCACAGTTTCTATTCACAATGGCTCCTAAAAGGCTGAGCAAAACCTGTGTTTCTGCAACATCATTTCAAAGTGTCTTTTTCTGTTTTATGCTTGTTCACAAACAAAATGTTACAGACTTTCAGGAAAATCCTCTGAATCCATCCATAGTTCTTTAAGTGTCATCATCCTGGAAAAATCTTGTTCCAAACTACATTTGTTGTTCTTTTTTGGACATTCCTCTTCAGTATTCTTCTTTCAAAACGCGTTGGCCGTGTTTATTTCTATTCTGCAGCAATCATTCTGTTTGTAAAGTGCAATATACTGAGATGGATTATTTTCCGCAAATCCAGCTTTATTCTGTTCCCTCCAGTGTACTTTAGGACAATAGACAGAAAGAGGAGCTTTTCAGGCATCAAAAGTGGCAACATGAGGGGTGTAATGCAATCCTGTAAGAGGACATAACCTTCAAGCAACTCTTATCTACCATTAGTTATTGGAAGTTGTACCTTTTTGTGAAAATGATAGGTATAATATAGTACACATATATGTTGCATTCTCTTTGGATACGTATGCGATATGTAAATGGCTTATGACAGGTCATCCTGAGTGGTCTTCAGAAAAAGAGAGAGCAGGATTTACTTCTCATCCTGCAGAGAAATTTCAGAGAGAGGGAAGTCATAAGTAAGTAGGTCACAATCAGAGAAAGCCCCTGAGCCAACTAAACAATTACAAGAGGGTCCAGTCTCCTTTTGATGTTCCTATCTGCAAATTGATCATTTGGATGTGTATATGAGATGCATTTGTAGAGCACGATCAAAAAAGATAGCAGAGAAGAGGCTGTAGACTCTTCATGGTAGGTGTTGTCATTGACATGCAGTGATTTGTAACTTCTCAGGAATACTCTTGAATCCTTTCAACACTTCCAAACATTCTTTAAAACACAGTACATGTCTTATGCTGGGGATAGCCCAAGATATGCAGTGCCCTTTCCAGTGATATTCATAATGAATTATTTTGGGAACAAAACTTGCTTGGAGGAGGAGTAGATCCTTAGGAGGATTTCTCTGCTATGAGGTGCTCCATTCAATGAACTGACTGGAAAACCTCTGTTCTCATGAAGTTGGCTGTGCTGTACTGCGTTGTGGAAGGCTGTGCACTAGTTTTCTGTCTGCATTGGTGCTGCTGCCAGTACTCAACCCAGCTGGGCAGTAGCCAGCAGAGAGGATCTGAGCTGGCTGACCAAAGGACCAGATGTGCAGTGAGTGCTGGCGCATGGATGCCAATGCTTCAGTGACTCTTCAGTAGTTCCAACAGATGGTGGTAAGATCCAAGTTTCTTTGGTGATAAGCTAGCAAAGTGATTCATGGAGCCTCACTTGATGATGGCAGTTTTTTGGGCATGACTCTATGAATGCGCCATATGTCTTCTCTGGACCAGTGTGGTTAGGATTCAGTGTCTGGCAGATGGTAAATTGATCACCTATAGGGTGGTTTTAGCACCACTATCAGTTTTAGAATGTATTTCAAAGCATTGAAAATCCAAGCAGTTAGGTCTGTATCTCCTAAGCAGCACACTTTTACTACCTGCAAGACATTATTTGGTGGTCAGTGTTTCCATCCTGTATTGCTGGCATCTTTTGAAGTTTCCCAGGCATTAGCCTGCTTAAACTTTTTACCAGAGAGTGAATGATTTAAATATGATGGGTGACAGCAAAATTTACATAAATGGTTTTAGGTTTCCATGTACTGCTACTTACACTCCAGTGACTTTATATCTGGAGCTGGCTGAAACGTTAAATTGACCACGATTTTGTAAACCTGGGATGCACAGCAGCTTGTGCTGTAGAGCGCTCATGCGTTTCCATGGAGTATGGCAGCATAGACCCCACAAACCAAAGAGCAGCAAGACAAGGCAAGGAAGACAAGGAAAGCAAAAAAAAAAAAAAAAAGAGAGAGAGAGAGAGAGATGGTATATTAGGAAGACAAATGAAGGAGAAACAGAAAACAAGACCTACAGCACAAAGGGAAGAACCCAAGGAAGTGGCAGGTGAATGGAAAGAGAGGAAGGGAAGAAAATCGTCAGTGGAGCAGTTCTCATTTTATTATTTCTCTCCATAACAAGCATTTCCATTGAGACTTTTATCAGTACCAGACCGAAATGGCAAACACTTTGCCACATGGTTGCGAAGAAACTGCCCTTCTCTATTCTCTGCAGGATCACCAAAACATCGGTGTCTGTTAGCTGTCCCCTCAGCTAACTTGGAGTGAATCAATGTGATAATTTCTGTTAACTCGCTTTAGAGTTACACAATGTAAAAAGACATTTTGTAATAACCTGTAACATACAACTATCATTGGCCGCCCTTTGAGGCTGTCAGCTTCCCAACTAATCTAACCTTCTACTTTCCTTAGAATTTTGTCCGAAACAAAGCAGTGGAAGTTCATTACAGTACAGACATCTCAAATGTAGGTATGCTAATGTAAGACAGCCAAAAGAGGAGAGCAGCCACACTGTTAACGGTAAGAAAGCATATGACAGCTGAGTAGAAACTGAAAATAGCATAATGCTGACCAACAGATTGGCTAATCCAGCGACGGTGCAAAGCAGCACTCCGGTGTAGTGTCAGAATACAGGCAGAACTTACCTGGTTTTCGCCGACCATGTAGGTGAGGATTTTGATTTTCTCCCTTCATTCACTTTCAAAGAATACAAAGCTGGAGGAAACACAGTTTCCTAACAGATGGCCTCAAGGTCAGGGTTTAGTGGTTATTACATACCCTACCCAAACTTCCATTTACTCTCAGGTCCCAGGCAGGGGAGGAGAGAGAGAAAGGCTTGCAAATGGTTAAGCGTCAGCTAAACAAAAGTCAGGAACCGTGTAATTAAAACTCTACCTTTGTTGTATTGTAAGGAGTTACCCTGTGATATAGGAAATATTTAAAGGAGCAGGCTGTTCAGCTAATTTGTGTGTGAGTGAACTGCTTAGACAGTCCTATCCTAAATTAACTGTAAGGCCACCCACTGAGATTGCCTCATAAAGGGCCATGATTGCTCAGCTTCGTTTTGTATAACCGTTTAATAATTACTAGATAAATGCATAACTAAAAGCTCTATTACACTAATAATTTGTACTGAGATAGATGTGTGGGACACCATGCTGGGTTAATTTGTCATCCCTGCAGCAAACTTCTAAAGAGGGCTCTTTTGCAGAGGAATTGTGTTAATATGTTGCTCCAGTGAGGACATGTTAGAGCAACAAGATGACTTGGTCGCTTAATCTCCTAAAGAGCCAAAATGCCTGGAGGGTAAGTGCCAGAAAGAAGAAGGGGGGGTGATTAACAGAGTGGACCTACGTTTATCCTTATCCTGACAA